TAGTTAATGACAGTCACAGAGAGTGTTTTTCTTGCCCCTGGAGAGGTTTTAGACACAGCTGGGGTAGATTTGCCACTATCAATTATGCACAATTTTAAACAAGAATTGGCCAGCAGGGGCCTCTTTTTTTTTGCAGAGTGCAGAGCGTGAAGAATGGGAATATGGCAGCTGGTACCTGCCTATGAGGGAGAAGATATATAGGAGTCAAGAAAATAAGGGAAAGATTAATAGCTTACTATTTTTAAAGTTGCAGTTTCAACGCAAAAGTTTAAATGCTACAATAAAAGTGGCCCAGTGTTGTTTGGTGGTATATTTTTTTTTAATTGAAGCATCCTAACTTCATTGCAAGGCTTTATCTGGCCCTGGTACAGCCACAAGCAAGTCCGTAGTCTCTGTTTTTAAAAGCCAGCAAGGGAGTCAGGATTCTGTCTCAGATATCGTGTTGTATCACTTTTCATCCTTAAATGAAAACAAGGTATGAATTCAATTAAATTTAATGGTATAGGTCAAATTTCACAGACAATAATTTTCCTTTTTGTAAAAAAAAAAAAAGGGCTTTGGTCTCCCCTCCGCCAGTGTCAATCCAGAGCAACTGCAGGTAATAGGAAAAGCCAAGGATGAGATTCTGACCTAAGTAAATAGCTCAGGTCTAGAACAGTCAACGTCTGGACCCATCTAGGTCAGCCTCGTAAAACAGCTGTTTCAATTACAGGACCAAAACCGGTGGAAGGCTATGGCTCACAGGCAGAGCTTTAGTTTTCTTGAGATGTGAAGACAGCTGGGAAGGCAGCGGAGCCATCCTGGAAGGTGACGCAGGAGCAGCATGCTTCAATCCCTACCTCAGGGATATCAGAACTCAGGCACACAGCATTTGCTTTTCTAATGGCAACACTCATAGTTTTTCCAGTATAGGTGCTTTGTGTCAGTGACATTATGTCCACAAAACAGGAAAAGTGCCACCAAAAAAATTCTCCTGTGGACAACTCTGAGTGCTGTCACTTGTTAATAACTTGGATTAACCAGGCTGGATGCCATCTGGAACAAGTGCGGTTCGGCATTAGATAAATTGTGTAGGTCAAAAAACCTTTCTTCGCTTATTGTGTCACACATTTTTCCAAAAATGCTGTCTCACGATCAGGTGTGAAATAAAACTTCTGCCGCCCATACTTTTACCTTCTCCTCTCTCCGTTTGCGAAGGGAAGCCATCAGGATGCCCTGGTGACCTCTAAGATCTTAGACAACGCTGTCTGAATAGTCAGAAGCCAGAAGCGATTCGAATACCCTTTTGGAATGCCAGATGGCTGGTGGGGAAACGACGTTACATTCCAGCTGTTAGAGGCCTTATATATTTCATCGTCATCCAAAGGCAACTAGTTCTCATTTGACTAGGTACACAGTGAAGGTGTCATCAACATTATTAATTTGTTGGAATTTAATCTCTCTAATGTATCTGAAAGCTGTAATAAATTAGATAAGTGATGTCAAATACAGTGAGGAAGAGGCAGGATTCTGACACAAGTTTTTTTTTCCTTTTAACATTTGTCTTCATGGTTTTATTCTCTGTGAAAGCTCGCTGACAGGACTGGACCTTCTCTCACATCCCTCTCCTGGGAGAGAGAACAAAGGAGAGAGGACAGAGCTTTGCTTACGAATCACTTGGTTTCAGTCCTGCATCTAGCAGCAGTGTTGCCACTCGGTGGTAGTTAGGGGGACATTTGTCTTCAGAGACCTGAGCCGAGAGGCTCTACCGAGTCATACCCCACACAGCACCGATTTGTAACTGGATGCCAATGATTTTTGGCTGCCGCGTGGTAGGTGCTGAGCCCGCGACGGAGGTGTGCGGATTCTCGGTGCATCTCTGCCCAGCCCTCCCCGCTGCGCCCCTCGCCGTGCGGCTGATTGACGTTATTCACCTGTTGCGGAGCTGAACTAACAGCTTGCCAACTCTGAGAGAGGAGCTGCGCTAGATGCTAATCTAGCAGTACAATGTAGTATACTTTGATATGAGGCTGTGTTTCCTCGCCTCCCTGTCTACCAATTCTGATGACATCTGTTTCATATTTCCCCTTGATAGAAGTTGTGACACATTACAACATACAAAGCCTGGCTGATTCCTAAAGCGAGCTTTACAGAGGATGCGTTTATGTGAAAAAAAATTGCACTCGGTATGTGAAGGGGGCCAAGCTCTCCTTGGAGGTGAATCCAGTACTTGTAGGGAGTTGTTCCAATTACTGCTCTAAAAGCTGGATCGAGGTCGTGGATGCAGCCCTCTATCTTATGAGGATTTCCAAGAGAAAACAAACAAACGTGTTACCTGGACAGTTGGAGGGTCAAGTTTGTTATGTGACCGGAGCCACAGCAGCCTGAGAGGGACACTGGTGAAATGTTGCTCAGAAATACCTCGAGGGGCTGCAGGAGATATATCATATACCCAAGGCTAACACTTCACAGAGAGCGCATACATGTAAATAGGCTTTACTCATGTGAGTAAGCCTCCCGGGGCTGCATAATAGACTGTGTGTGGTATGTGTCTCCTTCAAAATGATAATAAAGCTTTCTAATTGGAAGTATTTTAAGTCTAGACGGTAGTTCTGTCAGTGTTTTTCCCCTTCATCTTTTTTTTTCCTGCTTCTGAACGATTTTCAACTGACAGCCCCGGGGAGTGATGTTTTCTCTTATCTATAGGAGATGCTTGGTATGGCAGGGTAAGGCATCCCACCTTCCACTGGAAGGACCATTGGATTAGGAGTTTGTGCTGTTGTATAGTATATTCTGTGTGTGCCATTATACAATGCATGTGGGGAAAAAAATCCATATTAGCAGCGATGTCTATACTCTCCCACATCTTCCCCTACACTCTTCTTTAATGGTGACACCAGACTGGATAATAAGAAGCATCTTGTGTAAAAAAGAAGGGAATCTCAGACAAGGCTTTCAGAGTTCATTTTGTTGGCAGCTTTTTAAGTGGAGTTTTTTAGGCTCTTCTGTTTCAAATACCATAATACTTTTTGAGTTAGTAACTGAATTACGACAAGCTTTCTTGATATGCCAGGTTATAATCCTTTAGTGGTTTTGTTTATTTCAGAATATAATAGGAAGCCGTATCAATTATCATGACTGTATAAATGTTGTTCCTCTCTACTAGAATATTCATCTTGAGACATATCATCAGATGTTACCTGTTCTGACAATCACGTTTTTGTGCCATTGTTGGGCAACAGAAACAAAGAAAAACAAAATGTTAAGAGTGTAAGGGATAAAAGAGTGCTGAAACTGTTGTTCTTTTCCTGTCTTTGGAATCTCTGAGATCTTGAATGTTTTATTCCTGGCTGTTATTTTGTTACCACAGTGTGAATAGAAGTCATTATCTGTAAACATTTGAAAAGAGAGATGATTTTCATAACTTTAAATCCTACAAAGGATTCTAGTAATCTGCTATGTGCATGCCAAGGTAAAGCTCAGCCTTTCATCTGGTCTGATCCCACCCAGTCAGTGTAAAATGTTCCTTTGGTGAATGTCTAAGGCATACAGTATCTTTTGTGAGAGGCAGACAAAAACAAAAATAGGAAGCCTGGCCTTGAAAGCAGCAGCAGGGGAAGGTGTATTATAAAGAGAGATGCATTTACAGGCTTCGGGCTGTGCTTAGCTGGTAAAAGTTTATTTTCATAAGTTTTCAAAGCAAGCCTTATTTTTTATTTTGGTCTGAATTAGTCATTGGATGGGATCTTTGTCCAGATCTGCTTTAGTCTCCTATTGCAGTGGCCTCTTCCAATAGCTGGGGACAGGGGACTCGCGTCTCTGCTCATTCTCAGCAGTTTGTCAAGAATTCTCTGCTGAAGAGCTTTTGAACTGGAATATAAAATTAACAGGACCATTACAATGAAACAAAGCGCCAAGGAGCAGTCAACGTGAGATGGGCACAACAGTTCATACCCAGTGTAATGTGAGTGGGGTCAATCGGGGTGTATATTGTTTTCTGGTTCTGTTGTCTTGATTCAAATCACAGCTTTTATGTAACCTCTATGAAATGAGTTGACAAGTCCCATTCCATCCTCTGGTGAAAAGCTGTTCATAGCGTGGAACCCACCCCACTCACACTAAGGATCTGACTTTTTAAGATGCTGAGCAGTTATGTCTTGTTCAGACTCAATGGGAATTGCAGATTTTGATCTTAAAATCAAGCATTAATATTTCCTCTTCGGCAGTCAGAACAGCAAGGCAGGTTGTCGAGTGGGTTATGCCATACTGAGCTGCCTTCCGTGCCCCAGTGCTGGTCTCTGCAGGTCTGTGCTAAAGGAAGGGACAGGGAATTGTCAGCGTCGTAATGCGGCACTTATTAAGTCTTACTGCTCATTCTGCTTTTAAGGACGCAGGACAGGATTGGGAAACAGGAGGACTCACACTGTGGAGCTGTGTGGGGAGACAAGGGCGAAAGAAGTGGAAGTGGACTAAAACAGCAAGAGGGAAATCCCTTTTGTGGGCACTGAGTTGTGCCGTGCTGTTATTAGGGAAGAATGGATAATACTGGCAGACAAGCTCTTTTTCTGTCCTTGACAGGAACAGTACCAATTTCTTATTTACCTTTTGCAGAATGTCATTGTGATTGTATTTGCCAGTTGGGTTGGGAAGCTGGATCCAGAGGAAGTTCAGAGGTAACTGCTAGATTGTAAGCGAGCTATGACAGACCCCGAGACAGGCTCCAGCTCTAATTCAGTCACTGGTGTCCACACTGTATTGTCCGTTAAGCCCCGTCAGTGCCCACAGCACCACACACATGTCAAAGAGCTTCTGCCAAGTTTGGAGACTAAACAAGATGTGAAGAGCAGAACCAGAGCAGTCCTGTGCATATGCTAGTGTTTTCTGGTGCTGCAGTTTTGAGTAGTGCTGTCGCTTCCATATTTGTGCATGCCATTCATCGACGTAAGGATTAACTCATACTCTGAAGGTCACAAGTGATGTTCTCAGGATGTTAATGCACTTAATTTTTATGTTCTCCGTAGGGTATTTTTCTTTAACCTCCCCTATGAATCCATCATGGAACGGCTGTCTCAACGAAGGATTGATCCCGTCACCGGGGAAAGGTTAGCACTCATGTCTGATGTTTAACAGTTTTCAAGACTGCCAGTGAGATGAAAGCACCAGGTAGACTTCATAGAAATCTAAGGAAACTCAGGAATATTGTACTCTTGCTTAGGGATTCCTTAAAAGAAAAATTAAAACTTTCATAGCTACTGGAGTACCAACCCCCCTACCTGCTGCAGCAAGCTCCTCTTCTCAGAACAGGGCATTTTAAAATCATGGAGCCTGAAATCTATGGTAGCGAGTAGCTCAGGTCTGACATTTTAATGGTAACTAAATTGGTTGGTAAAATAACGCTGAGGGAAGATGTCTGAAACCTAGCCTAAATGCAGATGGTTTTCAGACATTCCCGTGGGAATTTTGAAGGCTTCCCAGCTGGGGAAAATGGAAAACTTGCTGCATTTTACTTCCCCCAGATCCTGTGATGGTTCTGTCTGCAGTGAGATATTAATATATTTCCTGCTCAGTAGAGCAAACTCGTTTGGGTGACTGAGTCACTGTAAGTTGGGTTCTCAAACGCGGCAGTTCATCTCACTGGCAGTCATATCACCTTGTTTCACCGGTGACCTTCAGGTTTACTGTGTTCTCCACCCGTGTTTTTGGGGGAACAAGTAACAATGAAATGTCTTCTTAAATACCTGCTGGAATTGGTGTGGATTTGCAACTTCGCTTATGCTCTGTTTTTTATGATTCCCAACGTTTAAATTTTAAACCACTATTTTACTTTTCTAATGGTTAAATGCATCCTATTGAATCAAAGACAAATGCTGAAGTCTCAAACATTAAGGCCATAACTACTGGATTTGTCCCAAAGTGATGCATGATTATTCAGACATCTCACTCAAGGTGCAACATTAACTTGTGACAGCAACAGTGATTTGCTGTAACTGTTCTCTTTGTTTTCGTAATAAGTGATGCAGTTGTTTGGAAGAAATGAACAGTATGAAGCAAATCATTCACACATCTTTGCATTTCTTATCGTTAGGATTAGCCTTTTCAATATCTGCTCCAGTTAACACGCTTCTTTCTTCCAAACTCTGGGTTTTATTCCCTCCAAATTCATTGTGAATTGAATTGTTTTAGATGCTGTGTCTAATCCCCAGCATTACGATAAACCTGCACCACTGGCTACAGTGCAGTGAAGAGGGTGGCCTTTAGCTGTGCTCTAAATAATCCTAATGTGGAATGAACTCTGTGTCCGCATCATGGTACCAGCTGGAGCTGGAATGCTGCAGAGACAGAGACTCCGCTGCTCTCCTCGGCTTTGCTTCTATCCCAACAGTTTCAGAAAATTTGGCTGTACAGGAAAAGGAGTAAACTGGTTTTCTGTTAAGGCACAGGAGACATTTACTAAGTAGAATTACCATGGCAGGACGTTTAAATACATGTTTGCAAAAGAGCTTTTAGTGATTGTTGGGAGCCTTTGGCAATGCAGAAACATCGTCAGAATTCTTTTTGGTGTCGCTGTCGGGGCAGGCTGCGCAGGACTGCGGCGCTGCTGCAGGACTCTGGTGATGCCAATCCCCCGTCCTGCTGATCTAGTTGGGTCAGCTACAACTGTGAATTCAGGGAAGCCAAATTCTGGCATTCTGGAAATTAGAAAATTAGAAATAACCAAAACCTACCTCTGTGAATTAACCTCTTTTTATCTTCAGCTACTATAAAAAGATGGCAGCAATTGAATTGTACCTGGTATCTGCCCAGAAATAGAGACTGAACTAGAATATTTGTGTCTTCTTAACTTCTTCCAGTGATCTTTAGCAATAACAGTATTAATCCTACTTGTAGTGGCTTATTAAGAGGAAGAGCCTTTCAAGCTGGAGCTTGTGGTGATGTGGAGACTGTGTTGAGGAAGGGCTGCGCTTCCGCTACCCTTCTGCCGGTCGCTGGAAGCACTCACCCACGTGCCTGCTAAATAGGAAATGCTTTCAAAATTTGATATTGGTGATCCCAGCTGTGTTGCTGCACTTTTGAATCTTGGCAGGAAAGTCCCCAATGTCTGAGAGTCTTAAACACATTTGAAGTTACAGGTCCTTCAGCAACGCCTGGAAACAGGGCTGTGTTTGGGCTCACTGATTCAATGCAAAGGAAGCGCTCAAAGTTTGCCAGCTTTTTCCTGACTGATGTTCAGCATCAGCATAACAGTAAACTACAGCAAAGATTTTTAACAGATGTTAAGGTTTAAAGTTAGGCTTTTTTAGATGTTTTTTTTAAAGTAGACATCAAAGATTACTAGACATCATGAAAGGCTGAGAAAGCTGGGACTCTTTAGCCTGGAGAAGAGAAGGCTGAGGGGAGACCTTATTATTGCTTATAAATATCTAAAGGGTGGGTTGAAGGAGGATGGAGCCAGACTCTTCTCGGTGGTTCCCAGTGACAGGACGAGGGGCGATGGGCACAAGTTGGAACAGAGGAAGTTCCGTTCCAACACATGGAAAAACTTCTTTACGGTTCGGGTGCCAGAGCAGTGGCACAGGCTGCCCAGGGAGGGGGTGGAGTCCCCTTCTCTGGAGACTTTCAAAACCCGCCTGGATGCAGTCCTGAGTGATGTGCTCTGGGCAGTTCTGCTTTAGCAGGGGAGTGGGACTAGATGATCTCTAGAGGTCCCTGCCAACTCTGAAAATTCTGTGATTCTGTGATTACAAGTAAAACATGTTACCTTGGGATTGGATCTGGAACAGATCTGGAAATGCTTCTGAACCTGGAGCATCGGGCATGCAATAGGGATTTCTCTACACCTTGTGCAAAGTGTGCAAACACTAGCAGCACTCTCTCTGTGTCACCTCGAGAGCTTTTGGCTTTTGAGTATCCAGGATTCTTGAGAGGAGGAATGACAGATTACTTGCCCTGAAATTTCCAATCATTGTTTTAAAACCCCAACCTAGAGTAGAAAGAGGCACTTCCAAGGAACTACGATAGGCAAAATCAAGGAGTATCTTAGGAAACAGCCACTGTGTCCTCAACTTGAGCTGAAGCGGTGGCATTTCTGTCTCATCTCCAGATACCACACTACATTCAGACCAGCACCCACACCGGAGATCCAAGCCCGTCTCAGGCAGAACCCTAGAGACAAGGAAGAAAATATTGAGAACCGCGTGGAAACCTATTACAGAAATGTCAAGGAACTGGAGGATTTTTATGAAGATGCCTTTTATGTCAATGCTGACCAAGACCCTCATGTTGTCTTTGAGTTTATAGAAAGCTGTATCATTAAGCCCCTTCCATGCAAAAAATCAAAAAGCTTATGAAGCACAGAGAGTAAAAATCTATGTTTTATGGGAATTTTTTTTGGCTTTTGTTTTGTGATCCAAGGCATGAAGCACTGTGGCTAGGGAAGGTCCTGTGTTTAAGTCAAATATCTTTTTTCTGATTCTGTGATTCAGTGAATTGTAGTTTTGCCTTAACCATGTAATACCCATGAAACCAATTTGGAATATTAAAGCTATTAGATGTGTTTGTGCCTTAATTTGCTCAGTGCACTCCGACAAAACTGCGTGGGCACTGCCTGTCGACCTCACTGTCACACTCAGCTGGAGCCAAACGCAAAAGCAAAGAGAAGAACAAAGCTTGCAGCACAATTTCCCCCAAAACAGCTACAATGTTTTGAGGCTGGGGTGCAGAGGTTTTTACTCCCTTGTTAACTCGGATTGTTTAAAAAGTTCTGACAAAATAGTCACTCTGCAGGTGCACCGGCCGTCCCAGTCACCCTGTGCTGCAGACCACCCCCACAGCTGGGCAGGAAGACTCAGATGGACTGGAAAAAGTATCCAGAGCCATAGAAAACTGGTTGCAGGTCCATGGCTTTCAGAACCCAATTAAGGACATAACGAGCTGCAGGAGCAGATAGGTTACTAAATCCTGTTTTCCTCAGGGAGTGAGGCTCCCAGCCTGTGGCTGCCCTGGCTGAGCTGTGGCTGGGCAGGTTGGTGCCCAGGTTTTTTTTTTGCTTTGGCTGGATCTGGCTGCAGAAAACACTCAGGTAAGTCTTTTCTTAACTGGAAAATCCGTGGTGAAAAGCACAGTGCTCTGTTAGCTAGCTCAGACTCTGGCGGTGGACGTGCACATCCTTAATGCTTCTAAGAAAGGGGTGTGATTTGTTGTGATTCAGAGGAGCGCTGAGTTTGATGCCTCTATTATGTTTCCCTCTGTTTCTCCCCCGGGTATGAGTGTGAATTACCCTTGACCGGGGAACAGGGAGGAGCTTCAACTTTCTCCTGGAAGCTTCTGTGTTTGGGAAGATGAAGGAGGCACGTGCCTCCTTTCAGAGAGGACAGGCCTCCAGAAGCCTTTTGGTTTTAGATGACTTCTCTGATGCTATTGCTGCAAATAAGTTTGGGTCTTTGTTGTTGTCTTTGATCATGTGTGTCTAGGTCTATACGGAGTGCTGTAGGGATATGCATGCCAAATTCCCTTCTCACACCTGCAGAGTAAATTCAGGTGGGAAGACCCTGGTTATCCAGATGGCTCTGAGGATACTGTATTATTTTGGGAGAGTTTAAGGTCAGAATTTTCAAGACCTTTAAGGGGGTTTGGCAAATGGGAATTGGACATTCCAGCCTTGAGGGCAGCTTTAAACATCTCAGAATAAATATCTTCGAAATCCAAGAAAGCCAAATCCTCTAGCACCAGCAACGCAAGCTGAGTCCTCTGTGCCTCTTGTGCTGAGAGATTCCAGCTCGTAGCACCAGGCTGAGGCAGCGGCTGCTCCCACGGCACAGGGCCCAACCACAAACCTTGTCTAAAGCTGGGCAAAGGCATTTGTAACAGTCCGACCTGTTACAAATGTGCTGTTTGGTAACCTACTTGGGCAGCTGTTTTTTATGCTATCGCTATAAAGATGTGCTGTAGCATTCATGCATAATTGGGAGCCCTTCTATTAATAATACATGGGAAGCTCATCTTGCTAATATCACCTTCATCTGAGTGTTCCTACTAAATATTTTGATAGATGAAATGGATGGAGAGTGTATTTAAATACTGTTTGTACTGCAGCTAGAGTACAAAAGGGACAGTGCATCTTTAATTAGACAGGTACATCTGCTTAATTAATTTAGCTGTAAAGCCCTTTTTCCTCTTCATTCTTTCATCTATATGCGGACGCTATATTAGTTCCACTCTGCTGGTTCCATAGAAACTGAGAAAAAGAGCTTGTCTCATTGAGATGCACTTGGCATGTCTGGGTACGGAGTCTCAGGTCAATGGTCAACCCCCAAGGGTTTGCAGCAGGCCTGAAGTGCAGAACGTAAGGGTTAGCAGAACATGCTAATACTCATGTAGAACTCTCCCTCAGAAACAACTAAAACAATTGACATTCATTTAATTACTGTAAACGAAACAGCCCCTGCATCACTTTGCATAGTAAAGCCTGTTAATACCAAAAAGGTTCAGTGGGTGGAAGGAGGAATTAGGCTTTTATAATTGGAATGCAACACTTGAAAAGCAATTTGGTAACTACGCTTGATTTTATTAGCATCTTATTCTGGCAAAACAAATGTTGAGCAATGAGAAAAACAAGGTGAAGAGGAGGTGGTAAGAACGCAGCAGGGACCAGACGTTACTTATTGTACAGCTTGCCCGGTTCTGAAATGGACATCTTTTATCACTCTGCTTTCCGAAGATGCTTTGCACGGAGGGCTGCTTGGAGGTTGTGCTATACCCTATATATTATGCTGTTAATTATGCAGTTCAGCAATAAGATGAGCACGTCCAACTTTTCCACAAACTTTTGTGTCCACCTGCTCCAAACACTAGATCTTTCAGTACACTATGGTGGAAGGATGCTTGAACACTGCCAGGCAGGAAACCCATCCTCCAGCACCGTCTCTGCGAGGACCCTCTGTAGCTCTTAAAGATTTCCCCTGCTGACTCCTTTGGTTCCTTACCTTTCCCTGTAAGACTTGGGTGCTACTTGGGTGATGGTTTCAGCACAGAAACCTTAAATGTAGCTGGGTTTGTTGCCATCCACTCACAAGGTGCTGTAGAAGCTGCAGGACAGTAATGGAGGAAGGTCCAGCAGAGCGGTCATACAGGTCCTGAAGGTTTGGTTTAGAGCAGACAGGCTTGGCAGGTTCCAGTGCCTCAGCTCTGCTTCCCAGAGGGGCAGCTGGAGCTGAGCTGATCTGAAGTCAGAGTGAACTGTGGTTGTGAGCCTGTAACTGCCCATCTGTGTCGCACTTCCCAAAACTGAACCTGAAAGGTGACTCGTGCCTTGTCATACATCATACAGAAAATTGTCTATTCCCCTCTACAAGCAGTCCCTCCTGCATTGTTCTCCTCTTCCTGCAACAAGAACTGTTGGATTCTACAGAAGAAAAGGTGATGTCAGGCCCCTTTCATCAAAGAAAGTTGGTTCTTTAGTGTAATTGTTTTCTGGAGCTGGAGTTTGGGAGGACCGGGAAAAGAGGGGTTGAACCTATGCTGGCAAGGAGAAGGGAACGTTGTGTGGCTGAAGGACACGGTCAGATCCCAGGTCCTCTCCCGGGCTTTACCGCTGGTGTTCTGTGACACTGGCCACAGCGAGATTTTTATTAAGCTTTTTTTTTTTTTAAATTTAAGTGTGAAGTTTTATGCTGAAGGACTGACTGCTTAACTACACTGCTCTTTCTTGCCAGTCTCAGCTCTTGGCACCCCTATGTCCCTTCCAGGAATTCAGTCCCTTAAAATACAGACATTACAAACAAGTACTTTATTCATTTATTTATAATAAAAAAGGCATGGGATTACAATGGTACTGTCGCAGTATACAAAACATACATCCAGGTTTGCTTCACGTTTACAAAATGTGCCATATACACAGCATCAATATTCACAGCAACTTTGTCAGACCCTCCCATGAACTAAGTCTCAAAGGAAAAATTCAGAAACTAAAGAATAAAACTCGACTTTGCTTTTCATTCAGCCTGACGACCGCGTGGTCGGCCAGCTGCAGCACACGCACCCCAGAACAGAATTAAACTAGCATGAAGAGATCGACTCAATTAGCGGAGCAATTAAATAAAACTCTCCTCTGAACAGTTCCATTTGGATGGCTCCTGGGTTTTCCCTTTTCAGGGCTGGCCTCCTAGTTTTGTGTTAAATAAGAATGCCGCAGGGCTGGCACAGCCCTGGAACGCCTGCTGGAGGGTCTCAGCAGTGCATGAGTCCTCCTGTGATGAAGGTGCTGCAACTGTTAATATTTGGGTTGATTCAGCTGCACAGGACAGCACAGGGAATTACTACTCCACTTTCTGCCCCAGACTGTAGTGTAGTTAATGTCAGTAACTGCCCCGTGTACCGGCTGCATTGCCACAATGGAGAGAACATCCACAGGCAGCTGTGACACTCCTGATGGTCACTGCCCGCATCACGACACCGCAGCAGGCGTTCCAGGTCTTTTCAGTGAAGAGTGCTGAGAACTGAGTTATCATTAAAAAATAGTGGTGAAATAAGAATATTCCACCTGACACCAAAGGTCTGGGAACATCTCCAGTGTAAAGAGTAAGTCAGAACTGAATACAGCCAAAGATTAGCACAGACAGAAAATCAAGTGTCCGTATACAAGGTGCCCCTCTGTTAGAAGTGAAAACTAAAGCTCAGTTGGCGTTGCTGTACACACGTACTACCCTCTGCAAGTTGTAGAAAACCATCGGGGATTGAGACTGCCAAGAGAAGGCTCGACTCCATCGCATTAAGATTCCTTCAACGTTGAGAGGTAGGACAGGACTCCAGGTGAGCAGCGCCAAGCTCAAGTTGTTCTTGTTTACCCACATGGAGGGGAAAAAAGCAGCTTTCCAACCTGGTATTTACCAGCGGAGCTGTAAACTAGCAGGCATCTCCACGCAGACATTTGTACCAGTTTGGGTTAAAGAATAAACTCTGCCCATTTTGATTTAAATCTGGAGTATAACCAGTGTAATTTGTGCATTTACAGGCCTGATACGAAAGCTTTGCAAGGCAGGGGTGGATGAGGACAGACATAGTACTAGTAACTACTTTGAGCATTTCACCTTTATTTACTGAGAACCCATTAACACCTCCTTCCAGTTAATTTAGATGCTTACTATAAATCTGACTTTTACCATGACTACCAACACTTTGAGGCTAAGACTGCTATTGGCCTTACTTCCAGCTGCAAAAATACGAAATAGTGCTCTGCAGTAACAAATTTTGAAGTTTATTGTTAAGTGTCGGACTGCTCCTAACTACACCCAAGGTGACTGCCACAAAGAATTCAATGAACAGCATGAACTAGGCTGTAAAATGCCAACAA